CTTCCATCAGTCTGTCTATCTATCTATCTATCTATCTATCTATCTATCTATCTATCTATCCATACCCCACTCTCTCTCCTAACTTTATGGAATATTGGGCTATCTATCTACCTATCTATCTATCTATCCATCCATCCATCCATCTGTGTGTATGTGTGTATAGGAATGCATCTGTCTGTCTGTCTGTCTGTCTATCTATCTATCTATCTATCTATCTATCTATCTATCTATCTATCTATCTCTATCTCTATCTCTATCTCCTATTTGCCTTACTGGGATTCTGGATTTTGTGTGACAGTCAAAACATGTTGACTGTAAACACTATATACCTTAAAAGAAAACAACAACACCAACAAAAAAGATCCAAAAGCCAAATCTCATGTTCAAGCAGCAAGCGTGATGTGTGTGTGTGTGTGAGAGAGAGAGAGAGAGAGAGTGCGAATGCCTACATCTTCTGTTGAAATATTTGGCTATTTTGTGTTTTAAGAAAGCAAAGCAAAACAGAAGCTTTCGAGTCCTATTTCAGGCCTTCACGCACACCTACACACCAAGAAATGTTATCGCATCCAATACCTGCAAAGTATTGGCTCCAAAGGGGGTGGAAGAAGAGGCCGGAGATTGTGCATGATGAGATTTGTAGTCTTGTGACATTTCAGCAAAACAAAAGCGGGGGGGTGGGGGGGTGGTTAAGACCTTGTCAAACTATAGCTCCTATGATTGGACGGGAAAGCCTTTGGGATCCCTTCCAACTAGAATGCAGGCAATTGATGCCAAACAGAGGCATATCAGGAAGGTTCGGATGGTGTCTTCCATCCAAATGGGGTTGGAATAGGTGTCCTTTAGGGTCCCTTAAAACTCTAGGATTCTGTAATACCAATTCAGGCCAGTTCTGTCAGCAGATGCTAGATGGCCATTTTCCGGGAGGGTTTGAATGGTGTCTCCCTGCAATGAGGTCACACTGGATGCCCTTTGGGGTCCCTTCCAGCACTAAGATTCTATGATCAGAATTCAGGCCATTGTTTCCAAATGTCTTTACATGGATGCTGGATGACCATCTTTTGGGAGGGTTTAGATGGTGTCTTTCTGCAATGAGGTCAGACTGGATGCCCTTTGGAGTCCCTTTCAACTCTAGGATTCTGTGGATTCTATGATGCTAAAGGTTCAGACCACTGAGGCTAATCTATCAGGAGAGTTCAGATGGTCGTCAGACTGGATGCCCTTTGGAGTCCCTTTCAACTCTAGGATTGTATGGCTTCTATGATGCTAAAGGTTCAGACCACTTTCCTCCTTTTCCCATGCGGCTCCCACCCTTTGCACTCTTCTCATACACCTACTGCCCTTCTCTTGTGCATTGCCTCCTTGCTATGGACATTGCCGGCATTTCATGCACCTTCCATCCTTCTCATGCACCTTGTGCCTTTCCTATGCACATTGGGCCCTTCTTACGCACATTGGACCCTTCTTATGTGCCTTTCACCCTCTTCTTCAATGCCTTGCACCATTCCCATATGCACTGACTCCTTCTCTGGCACATTGCCCCCTTCTCATGCTCCTTTTGCATTTTTTAGTGCCTTGCACCCTTCCCACATGCATTGCTCCCTTGTCATGCACCTTTCACACTTCTCATGTGACTTGAACCCTTCCTTTATACACTGGACTCTTCTCTTGCACATTGCCTCCTTCTCATGCACCTTTCGCACTTCTTGTGTGCATTGCACAATTCCCTTATACACTGGATCCTTCTCATGCACCTTGTCTACTTCTCATGTGACTTGCACCCTTCCTTTATACATTGGACTCTTCTCTTGCACATTGCCTCCTTCTCATGCACCTTTCGCACTTCTTGTGTGCATTGCACAATTCCCTGATACATTGGATCCTTCTCATGCACCTTGTCCACTTTCTTATGTCCCTTTTGCCCTTCTTGCCTTGCATCCTTTCCTTATACATTGGGTCCTTTTCAAGTGCCTTGTTCCCTTCTCATGTACTTTTCATCCTTCTCATTCACCTTGCACCTTTCCCATATGCATTGGACCCGTCTCATGCCTCTAGCCCACTTCTCATGCGTCTTTCGCACTTCTCATGTGCCTTGCATCCTTCCCTTACACTTACTTACTTACTTTACTTACTTACTTAGGTGATCCCTCATTGTCTGAGTAGGATTGTCTTCCCAGATTGGTGTGCTGACGGTGGGTCCGTAGGTGACTGGGGAGCCTTATTCTTGGTCTGCATGTTCTCCTGCAGTGAGGGCATCGGTTTCCAGGTGTAAGGCGGTCCCGGTTGGGGTTGGCTTGATGCGCCCTCCTCTTGGCACGTTTCTCTCTTTCGTCCTCCATTCGTGCGTCTTCAAATTCTATAGCACTGCTGGTCACAGCTGACCTCCAGCTGGAGTGCTCAAGGGCCAGGGCTTCCCAGTTTTCAGTGTCTATGCCACAGTTTTTAAGATTGGCTTTGAGCCCATCTTTAAATCTCTTTTCCTGCCCACCAACATTCCATTTTCCATTCTTGAGTTCGGAGTAGAGCAACTGCTTTGGGAGACGGTAATCGGGCATTCGGACAATGTGGCCAGTCCAGTGGAGTTGATGGCGGAGGACCATCGCTTCAGTGTTGGTGCTTTTTGCTTCTTCCAGCACGCTGACATTTGTCCGCTTGTCTTCCCAAGAGATTTGCAGGATTTTCCGGAGGCAGCGCTGATGGAATCGTTCTAGGAGTTGCATGTGACATCTGTAGATAGTCCACGTCTTGCGGGCATATAGCAAGGTTGGGAGGACAATAGCTCTATAAACAAGCACCTTGGTCACCCTACGGATGTTCTGGTCCTCAAACACTCTGTGCTTCATTTGGAAAAATGCTACACGTGCAGAGCTCAGGCAGTCTGTCTCATGTGCCTTTCCCCCTTCTCATGCTTCTTTCGCCCCCTTCTTTAGTGTCTTGCACCCATTCCATATGCATTTCACCCTTTCATGCGCCTTTCAATCCCTTCTTGACTGCCTTCCACCCTTCCTTTATACATTGGACCCTTTTCATTCACATTGCCCCCTTCTCATGTGCCTTTTGCACTTCTTTAGTGCCTTGCACCCTTCCCTTATACACTGAGTCCTTCTCATGCACCTTTCACATTTCTTGTGTGCCTTGCACCCTTCCCTTATACATTGGGGCCTTCTCATGCACATTGCCCCCTTCTCATGTGCCTTTCGCCCTCTTCTTGAATGTCTTGCATCCTTCCCATAAGCATTGCACTGTCCTCATGCACATTGCCCCCTTCTCATGTGCCTTTCGCCTTCTTCTTCAGTGCATTGCATCCTTCCTTTACATATTGGGTCCTTCCTTAGACATTGGGTCTTTCTTGTAGCCCTTTCACCCTTCTTGCATGTCTTGCACCCTTCCCTTATATATTGCACACTTCTCATGTGCTTTTCACCTCCTTCTTCTGTGCTTTGCACCCTTCCCTTATACACTGGATCTTTCTCGTGTGCCTTTCCCCCTTCTCATGCTCCTTTCGCCTCCTTCTTTAGTGCCTTGCACCCTTCCCATATGCATTTCACCCTTTCCATGCACCTCTCGCTCCCTTCTTGAGTACCTTCTACCCATCCCTTATACATTGGACCCTTCTCATGCACATTGCCCCCTACTTGAATGTCTTGCACCCTTCTCATAAGCACTGGACCCTCCTCATGCACATTGCCCCCTTTTTGTGTGCCCTTTGCCTTCTTCTTTAGTGCCTTCCACCCTTCCTTTATACATTGGGTCCTTCTCATGCACACTGCCCCCTTCTCATGTGCTTTTTGCACTTCTTTTGTGCCTTGCATCCTTCCCCTATGCATTGGACCCTTCTCGTGCACCTTGCCCCCTTCTCATGCCCCTTTTGCACTTCTTGTGTGCTTTGCACCCTTCTCATATGCAGCGCACCCTTCTCATGTGCCTTGCCCCCTTCTCATGCGCCTTTCGCCCCCTTCTTGAATGTCTTGCACCCTTCTCATAAGCACTGGAACCTCCTCATGCACATTGTCCCCCTACTCATATGCCTTTCGCTCCCTTCTTGAATGTCTTGCACCCTTCCCATGAGCACTGGACCCTCCTCATGCACATTGCCCCCTTCTCATATGCCTTTCGCTCCCTTCTTGAATGTCTTGCACCCTTCCCATGAGCACTGGACCCTCCTCATGCACATTGCCCCCTTTTTGTGTGCCCTTTGCCTTCTTCTTTAGTGCCGTGCACCCTTCCTTTATACATTGGGTCCTTCTCATGCACACTGCCCCTTTCTCATGTGCCTTTTGCACTTCTTTTGTGCCTTGCATCCTTCCCCTATGCATTGGACCCTTCTCGTGCACCTTGCCCCCTTCTCATGCCCCTTTTGCACTTCTTGTGTGCTTTGCACCCTTCTCATATGCAGCGCACCCTTCTCATGTGCCTTGCCCCCTTCTCATGCGCCTTTCGCCCCCTTCTTGAATGTCTTGCACCCTTCTCATAAGCACTGGAACCTCCTCATGCACATTGTCCCCCTACTCATATGCCTTTCGCTCCCTTCTTGAATGTCTTGCACCCTTCCCATGAGCACTGGACCCTCCTCATGCACATTGCCCCCTTCTCATATGCCTTTCGCTCCCTTCTTGAATGTCTTGCACCCTTCCCATGAGCACTGGACCCTCCTCATGCACATTGCCCCCTTTTTGTGTGCCCTTTGCCTTCTTCTTTAGTGCCGTGCACCCTTCCTTTATACATTGGGTCCTTCTCATGCACACTGCCCCTTTCTCATGTGCCTTTTGCACTTCTTTTGTGCCTTGCATCCTTCCCCTATGCATTGGACCCTTCTCGTGCACCTTGCCCCCTTCTCATGCCCCTTTTGCACTTCTTGTGTGCTTTGCACCCTTCTCATATGCAGCGCACCCTTCTCATGTGCCTTGCCCCCTTCTCATGCGCCGTTCGCCCCCTTCTCATGCACCTTGCCAACCTTATTGGCTTTCCCATCTCAGCCTGAATGCTTGCTGTGTTTCTTAGGAAGAGCCCTAAGACTCCAGTTCCTGTCAGAGGAATCCAGCCCTGGTTTTCCAACCCTCTTGATTGCAAATCTGGAGAGTTTTTGGAAGGCTGCAGTACCAGCCAGCCAGCTCTGTGTAGATGTTGCTTCACCCTGAACACCAGCAGAAAAGAAGAGATTTTTTCCAAAAGAGGAGAAGCATGAGAAGAGATTCCAACCTGATTCCTTCCAGGGCCTTGGTCTAGAATCAATATAGCCTTGCCTGCTATTCTAACAGAAGGCCAAGCCAGGAGAGCATCCATTCAAACCCCTGGGAAGCAAACAAAAAATCCAATTTTTCCTCCCTTTTTTGCAGCTGTTTTTGCAATTTCCCCACCATCACCACCTCCAAAGGTGTGATTTTATTTTTTGGGGGTGCAAAACAAAAGGGATCTCATTGAAGCCCATGTCTTTTCCTTCTTGTTCAGATTGGGTTTCGAATGGTTGGAAACAAAGATGCTGGTGAAGCCAAGGAAAGGACAGGTGTAAAAAGGGGGAGGAAAAAAAAAAAGAAGAGGATCTTCATTCCAAAAGGTTTTGCTGGATGTGACTGCAGCAGAGGAGGAGGAGGAGGAGGAGGAAGAAGGAAGGAAACCAGCTTTGTCAGGGAGGCACCCCAAGGTAAGGGACAAAGCCTGTCTCTCCTTTTTGGGGTGGGTGGATGATGGGCTTTGTTGTCAACATCCATAAGGGGCTGGGTTTGGGGTTGCTTTGGAGGGCTTTTTTTTGGGGAGGGGGAAACTTTAGACACTTCTGGGGGTGGGAAGAATGGGAAGGGAGGGACCCAATGGCCAAGCTTGCACACATATTATTATTATTATTATTATTATTATTATTATTAATAATAATAATAGATACATGCATACACATATATTGGGATAAAGGGACCCAATGGCCAAAGTTGCACACAATATAATAATAATAATAATAATAATATAGAGAGGGACCCAACGGCCAAGCTTGCACACACAATAATAATAATAATAATAATAATAATAATAATAATAATAGATACATGCATACACATATATTGGAATAAAGGGACCCAATGGCCAAACTTGGACACAATATAATAATAATAATAATAATAATAATAATAATAATAATAATATAGAGAGGGACCCAATGGCCAAGCTTGCACACACAATAATAATAATAATAATAATAATAATAGATACATGCATACACATATATTGGAATAAAGGGACCCAATGGCCAAACTTGGACACAATATAATAATAATAATAATAATAATAATAATAATAATAATAATATAGAGAGGGACCCAATGGCCAAGCTTGCACACACAATAATAATAATAATAATAATAATAATAGATACATGCATACACATATATTGGAATAAAGGGACCCAATGGCCAAACTTGGACACAATATAATAATAATAATAATAATAATAATAATAATAATAATAATAAAGACTAGGACCCAATGGCCAGACATAATAATAATAATAATAATAATAATAATAATAATAATAATGATAAATAATAATAATAGAAATACAAATAATAATAATAATAATAATAATAATAATAATAATAATAATAAATAGATAATGAATATAAAATAATAATAATAATAATAATAATAATAATAGATAAATGCATACACATGAATTGGAAGAAAGGGGACCCAATGGCCAAACTTGCACACACAATAATAATAATAATAATAATAATAATAATAGAACATATTTTGGAAGAAAAGGGACTCAAGGGCCCAACTTGCACATGTAATAATAATAATATACATGCACATATTGGAAGAAAGGGGACCCAATGTCCAAACTTACACACAATCTAATAATAACAATATAGAGAGGAACCCAATGGCCAGTCATAATAATAATAATAATAATAATAATAATAATAATAATAATAGATACATGCATACACTTATATTGGCAGGAAGTGGACCCAATGGCTAAATTTGCACACATAATAATAATAGAATATATATTGGAAGAAAAGGGACCCAAGGGCCAAACTTGCACTAATAATAATAATAATAATACAACAACCCAATAATAATAGTAATAAACATGGGTATATTGAAAGAAAGGGGACTCAATGGCCAAACTTGCACACATAATAATAATAATAATAATAACAATAACAACAACATACACACGTATATTGGAAGAAAGCGGACCCAATGGCTAAATTTGCACACATAATAATAATAGAACTTATATTGGAAAAAAGGGATCCAAGGGCCAAACTTGCACTAATATTAATAATAATAATCTCTCTCTCTCTCACGCACACACACATGTATATACACACACATGCCTATATTGGAAGAAAGGAGACCCAATGGCCAAACTTGCACACAATATTATGATAATAATAATAATAAGCACACATATATTAGAAGTAAGGCACTCAATGGGCAGAATTGCACACAATAATAATAATAATAATAATAATAATAATAATGAAAGGGACCCAATGGCTGAGCATAATAATAATAATAATAATAATGGTAGTACATATTGGAAGGAAGGAATCCAATGGCCAAACTTACACACAATACAATAACAATAATAATAATATAGATACATGTGTACCCATGTATTGGAAGAAAGGGTTCCCAATGGCCAAATTTGAAATAATAATAATAATAATAATAATAATAATAATAATAATAATATACACACATATATATTGGGAGCCAATGGCCCAATTTGGACATGTAATAATAATAATAATATAGATACATGCATACACATATAGTGGAAGAAGGGAACCCAAGGGCCCAACTTACAAACATAATAATAATAACCATACATACATACATACATTCACACAAATATGGGAAGAGAGGGAACCCAATTGCCAAACTTCAACACATAATAATAATAATAATAATAATAATAATAATAATAATAATATATTTTTTGTCGTGTCAGGAGTGACTTGAGAAACTGCAAGTCGCTTCTGGTGTGAGAGAATTGGCCGTCTGCAAGAACGTTGCCCAGGGGATGTCCGGATGATTTGATGTTTTTATCATCCTTGTGGGAGGCTTCTTTCATGTCCCCACATGAGGAGCTGGAGCTGATAGAGGGAGCTCACCTGCCTCTCCCCGGATTCGAACCTGCGACCTGTCAGTCTTCAGTCCTGCCGGCACAGGGGTTTAACCCACTGCGCCACTGGAGGCACCAAATAATGATAATAATAATAATCGAACATATATTGGAAGTAAGAGACCCAATGGCCAAACTTACACACATAATAATAATAATAATAATAATAATAATAATAATAATATACACACATTTTGGAAGTAGGGGACCCAAGGGCCAAACTAGAAATAATAATAATAGTAATAATAATAACAACAACAACTATAATAACTATACATACACATATATATTGGAAGAAAGGGGACCCAATGACCAATGGATACATCATAACGACAACAACAACATAATACACACATATATTGGACAGCAAGGGACCCAATGGCAAACTTGAATATTAATATATTAATATATTAATATTATTATTGCTGCTTATATGCTGTCATAAAAGAGACTCAAAGTGACTGGTATATATTCCTATATATGTATATGTATGTATATGTATGTATGTAGTTATTAGAAGAAAGTGACCTAATGGCCAAACTTACATACTATTATTATTATTATTAGCTGCCTTTTCTCTCTGAAAAGAGACTCAAAGCGGGATATATATTGTAATGTATGGAAGAAAGGGACCCTATGGCCAAATGTTCATGTTAATATAATATTGTTATTATATTTATTTATATGCCACTTAACAAAAACTCAAAGCAGCTGATACACACACACACATCCCTATCTATATCTGTATCTATCTATCTATCTATCTATCTATCTATCTATCTATCTATCTATTGCAAAGCTTCCATCTATAGGTAGACAGACAGAAAGAAAGGGACCCGGTTGCAAAGCTGTGTATGTATGTATGTATGTATGTGCATATATGTATGTATACATGTATACGTGTATATGTATATGTGTATGTATGTCCATAATATGTGTGTGTGTGATAGGAAATGCACTGCAAAACAAGCATATTAACATCTGTATATGTGTATGTGTATATATATATATATATATATATATATAGGATGAAACGGACTCGATTGCAAATCCTGCCTATTAATCCTTGTACAGATTGGAAATCCTTTGTCCGAAACCAGAGGATCAAGTGTGTTTTGCGGATGGAAATAATGATCGCTATGGCTTTTTCCTCCCTATCATTTGCCATAAAAATCAATACTGGATAATATTGGCTCCGTTGTGCAATCAATCAATAGCCTTATTGATAGGCCAGATGCTTCGGGATGGGGTCATACAAGGTATTGTGTCTTTGAGGGTCATATTGCAAAGGATATATATGCCTTTTCCTATAAATCAACTTGATGTGTCCTTTGTGTGGCAACCAGACAATAAACCCCCTTTATTTATGATAAATATTTTAATGGTGTTGCCTCCTTCCCCTTGGGTGCCTTTGAGCCGTATTCGGGGCCCGAAAAGGAATCTAATTTGGGGCAAATCCCAATCAATATTGTATTTATTTCTCTATATAACACACCCTTTTCCTTTTGACTCTTTCCTCGGTTGTGTTGAGAAAAAAGGAAGTCACCAAAAAAAACTCCCAAAAAGCAGACCGATTAGGGGCAAAATACCTTTCTATTAGGATTAAGGGATAAAAGGTCTATCTGTATTATTAGTATTATTAGTACAGTTGATAGTGTGATAGCAGGCCAAAGGCAAGGAATTGGGGGCCATCTACACAGACAGACATTGGGAAAACTAGTGTGCAAGGTGGAATAATAATAATAATAATAATAATAATAATATTACCATTTATTATGTATTATATTTCTCAGCTTTTCTCTCTTGACTAAGACACATTATTATTATTATCCTCTGCTTTTCTCTCATCACTGAGACCCATTATTATTATTATTATTATTATTATTATTATTATTATTATACTATTATTATTTCTTATTACTATATTTCTCAACTTTTCTTTCTTGACCAAAACCCATTATTTATTATTATTATTTTATTTATAGTTCGCTTTTCTCTCATGACCAAGACTTTTTGTTGTTGTTGTTGTTGCTGTTGTTGTTATATTTATACTCTGCTTTTCTCTCTTGACCAAAACCCATTATTTATTATTGTTGATATTATTATTATATTTACACTCCATTTTTCTCTCTTGATTGAGACCTATTATTATTATTATTATTATTATTATTATTATTATTCATGGAGCCCCCGGTGGCACAGTGGGTTAAACCCCTGTGCCGGCAGGACTGAAGGGTCACAGGTCACAGGTTCGAATTCGGGGAGCAGCAGATGAGCTCCCTCTATCAGCTCCAGCTCCTCGTGTGGGGACATGAGAGAAGCCTCCCACAAGGATGATAAAAACATCAAATCATCCAGACGTCCCCTGGGCAACGTCCTTGCAGATGGCCAATTCTCTAACACCAGAAGCGACTTGCAGTTTCTCAAGTCGCTCCTGACACGACAAAAAATATATATATTATTCATATTATACTCTTCTATTCCCTCTTGACCAAAACCTATAGTGACTCCAA